CCAGTCTGCTCTGTAGCTTTGTTTTGGTCGCTGTTACCGCAGAAAATCACAAAGATAGGATGTTACAGATAGGATGAGTCTTGAACTGAATTTACCTGTGTCAAGAGGCACAGATGCACCGACTGATGTAAATGGGAGAGAATACCGCAATTTTTAAAATTTTTCTAAATAAAAAAATCACTCAGACTCTGATCGTCGATAAATTTATATATATATATATATATAAATATATATATATACACTTTTTTCTGTGCGGCCCGGTACTAAATGACCCACGGACCGGTACCGCTCCCTTAGAGTATGTAGATTTCCATAATCTTGCAAACATCTCCAAATTAGGATTACAAGGTTAAAGCAGAATAGCTTTACATTACTCCATGCTGCCATCCTGTTAACTCTTTTAAATCTCAACTCTCAACCAGCCTTAATAAACCATTAGCTGCATTCCCATTACAGATGTGGGCAAAAAATATGTCAATACGCTAATCAATTCAGAAATGAAAAGTTTAGCAGTTGCGATATTTTAAATATATGCAGATCACGACTGTTTTAATTAAAAGAAAAGGGGTTTTCATTGAAAACTTAATATAAGAATTTGATACGAGCAAAAATCCCACCGCATCAAAGTGTAAACATTATTTTTTTCAAAATTGCAGTGTTTCCAATTAACAATTTTATTTTAGAAATTGCAATATGATGGTTAATAGAAAAACAGCTAGAGATGTGTTTCAACATACGCTAGAAATACAATTTTGTTTTGAACTAACTAAAATTGTCTTTCATTGTATTGAAATATTTAATTTTCAGCTATAGATTTTATTTAAACTTTCTCAAAAGCAAAACAAGAACATTTTGGGAACCACTGCATTAAACCAGAATTCTGAACTACTCCTGACCACCAGTTAATAAGAAGCAGCAACAATAATGTACGAAAGTATAACAGTGGCAAAATACTTACATCTTCTTTCTCTCATCCTTTTTATGTCTTCATCAGTCTAAAGAAAAAAAAAAAAGAAAATGTAATTAATTCATAAGAATTAGTTAAGTTAATGTAACCGTTTAACAGGATTCAGGGTGTTTTTTTTTCTTACAAGTTCTTTAATCTGCTTTCTGTGTCTGGTGTAAGGGTTTTTGAGATGGCTTGTCAAATCAAATATGGTTGGAATGGCTGTATCCTTCAGGACTGTCCTATAGGGACTCTGAAATATAAAGCCATAGTGTAAATTATACATAACTATGAGATGTAAAAAAGTGCATAAAACAAATAAAAGCATCTAAAGGAGGAAAGGAGTGGTGTGGCTCACCGTTTTGCACACCAGGGCTGGGTCAAAGTGTTTGGCACATAACCTGTAATGCTTATTCAACTGGTCCGCTGTTTTGGCTTCTAGATCTGCCCTGCGGCAATTCTCTACCCAGATTCTGCATCTAAAAACAGATACACATACCAGGTTATAAAAACATGCCATTTCACTTTCTCTTTTGAAAATGTAGTCACACTCTCTAGAATAAGTGTTTCAATAATTTTATAAATATCTTTTTACACTATTATGATTCAAACATTAAATTTATTTTTTTAAGCGAAGGAGATCTTTCTCATTTGTTCCTTGTAGTGGAAACTTGAAATGTTTGATCTTAGAATCCAGTGGTGTAATTAAATACCTTGAAATCTGCATTACTGCTGGGAACTGAAACATGTTATTATATACTTAAATAATTTTTTGCAACGTTTCGAGCATTAATATAAGTATAGGCAGATATTGAACACTTCTAATCACAAAAGTAAGCCAATAAGTAAACCTGAGCTGGTATTGTTTATTTCAATCTAACTGCTATTTTTTCTGTTTTTAGGAGAGAGAGAGCGGGCTGGACTGGTTATACGACACTGATACAGCACCCCTTTGTCACCATGGGTTCATCTGCTTTTCACTTCCAACCCATTCCTTATAAAAATCTGTATTTAATTAAGATACAACATTCATTGTTTTATCTCTGTGAAAATGTATGCTTTCAATGGACCTTTATCATTAACAATTAAGATATAAGAAAAATATGTGAATTGGATAACTTTAAATCTGTAAAAATATAGAATTTTGACACCAAAGATGAGTAGAAACCCAGATACAAAATAGACTAGGAGGTAATGCCTTTCAAGTGTCTGAAAGTCGTGTACAGTAGGGCAGTTTCTAGTAAAGTAAGTTAACCAGGCAGCAACTGTCCAGGTTAAAGTGCGAACAAAGTGATGAGACTTCATAGTTACAAGACTTTAAGATAGGGTGGCCAGATGTCCAGCTTTAGGGCAGCCCTGCACTGTCCGGCGTCGCATCCAGCTGGACGTGTATTTCTCCTCCTTTATGAGGCACTAGGCTTGTAGAGCAGATTTTTATTAACTTTTTTTTTTTGCTGTGCTGCAGCACA